CCAAAAAAAAAACAACATCAGCAGGCCCGGCAAGTGGGACTTTGCCCCGGGCCAGATTTTGGTTTGGCTACAGGTTCAACAGATAGTCTTGGATTGGGGCTCGATCCATGGACCTGTGCAGGCCCCTCAACTTGCGTGGGGGGGCTTGTCCTTAGATTCGGTCCCCTCAACTTACGTGGGGGGGCTTGTCCTTATCACAAGACCTGCGACCTGGTAGTCTCTTTTTTTTTTGACAGGGAAAAAAGAACAGTGCATGTCTGCCTCCATTCTGGCCATCACAGCATCTTTTATCATTGCCACACCGCACCACATACATCCTCGTAGTCTCTTTTTTTTTTTTTTTTTTTTTTTTTTTGGAAGACCTAGTACCCCACGTCTACAACAACCTGGGCTTTAATTTTAATTATGTATTAAAAGAAAAGACCCTCGGCCTCGAACGGTGTAGTACACAGCATTGTACAGAGACAACATTGTACAGGTACTTGAACTGTACCCTGGCCCAGGTGCATTCGGATCGATACAACATTGGGAATGTATAGGGTCGATAATCTCTTCCAGATACACTGCGAACCTTGTGTAATTGAGCTTGGCGATAAGTGTACGAATCCCGTTATGCCCATACCGCCAAATCCCACGTCCTTGATTGGTCCCGGGGTGGAACCAGATGGGACCTGGGTTGGTACTGGAACGAACCTCCTGGATCGTACATGGATTGGTCCTGGATTGGTCCTGGATTGGATTGGTCCTGGACTACTGTAGTCCCGGATTGGTCCAGAAAAAAAAAAAAAAAAAAAACCCAGAAAACCAAGAGTTTCATCTTTTCGCTTGTCGTATAACGAAGAAGTGGCAGGCTCAAGTCCAAGTCAACGCAACGAATCCTCTTTTCGCTTTTTTTCATTTTTATTGAATTTTGTTTCGATCGGTCCTGGGTTGTTCATGTCCAAGTGAACACAACGAATCAGCTTTTTTATTGAATTTTTTTGGCCAGGAAAAAGAGAAAAAAAAGAAAGAAAAAAAGAAAGAAAGCGCTGAATGGGGATAATCTTGTTGAGATTGCCTTGGGCAGGAGGATGCATGTAATAATATAACGTGGGGGTTTCAAGGGAGGGAAAAGAAGAGGAGAACAAAAATAATCTTGTTTTGACGGATATAAAGGCTTCAGATCCTAGTAGGAACAACCAATTAAGTAAGCAAAAATAATTCGTTGAATTTCGTTTTCTTTTCCTCTTTTTTCTTCCAACGCTTCATGGATGACTGATACAATGTAATCTTCGGGTACAACAAATCTTTTTTTTTTCCGTTTTTTTTTTTTCCAGCAGAAATGTACGACCAATCATCATCACCTTGTTGAATTTTCTATTCCCAGGAAAAAAAACAGGCAAAAAAAAAAAGAAGAAAAAGAGAGAGAGAGAGAGAGAGAGAGAGAGGGAGAGAGAGAGAGAGAGCAAAAWAGAAARGAGARAATTTTKTTTWGGATTGAGAMGATGCATGTCCCCCAAAAAAAAAAAAAAAAAAAAAAAAAAAAAAGATGCAAACTTTTTTTGGAGCGCAATGCCACGTGGCTATATTCATCAAATGAATCTGGAACTGGTGCGTTGTTGTGCGATTTAGCACTACTCCCGAAATATGCAACATGAGAAGGAATCTTCCGCCAGAACATGGAAAGATACACCGCCGCCACAATTTTGTTTTTTCGTCTTTTGTGCATGTCGAGAGTGGTGGAGCGACCCCCGTTGGCATGTTGGCGGCGTTTCAATTTTTATTTACTACATAATTACTTATCAATTATTTACTTCATAATTATTATTCATTTATTTATTTTATAATCATTGACCTATTATTTACTTGATTATTATTAATTGATATCCTGTGTGGATTGAATTATTAATTAATTAATATCGTGACAGGAACCCCAAACTACATCGCTCCTGAGGTCCTTCGATACGGGAGTGCTGGCTATAACTACGAGGCGGACATCTGGTCGCTTGGTGTTCTTCTATATACACTGCTGGTAAGAGTCTCGTTTCCTTCCTCCCTCTTCCCCTCTCTCCTCCCTCTCTCCCTCTCTCCTCCCTCTCTACTCTCTCCGTCCCTCTCTCTTTTTCTCTCTCCCTCTCTCCCTCTCTTTCTCTCCTCCCTCCCCTCCCTCTCCTCCCTCTCCTCCCTCTCCTCCCTCTCCTCCCTCCCTACTCTCCCATCGTTTCTCGTCCCTTTCTTCTCCCTCCCTCCTCACTTCTTTCCTACCCTTTGGATGCGTGTGCATGTGTGGGCGCCTTTCTGCGTCATGTTGTCCCCCTCCCCCCCCAACCCCCCTCTCCCTCTTCGTGGGACCGTGTGCCCCCGGCCCCGGTCGTGATCCCTACTTTTGTCCCTCCTTTCGCTCCCTTGCGCCCCCGCCTTCGCTCCCGTTCTCCGTCTTCTTGGGGCCGGGTGCCCACGTGCCGCCGCGCCAACTCCCACTTTTGTCCTGCAATCACGGCTAAACCGGGAGGAATCTGGAGGCAAAAACGTCCAGAGGTTAGCAGAAAAAGTCCACGAGGGAGTGTGCCCTCCTCCGTCTTCTTGGAACCACGTGCCCACGGCCGCCGTCGTAATTCCCACTTTTTTTTTTTTTTTTTTTTTCTGTGTAATTCCCACTTTTGCCCCTCCTGCCTTGCCCTCTCCCTCCTTCGCTCCCTGTATCCCTTCCTCCCTCCCTCGGTGTTCTGTCTCTTCCCATTTTGTCGTTTTGCTTACGTCTCAATTTCGAAGTCAAGGCCTTACCAACTGGCCCAGCTCAGTTGGTAGACCCCTGAACTGTTTGGGGCAAAAAAAAAAAAAAAAAAAAAAAAAAAAAAAAAAGACACCCGTGTTCAAACCCAATCTGAGCACTACCGGTAGTATAGGTCATGTCATTGTGATGGCACCTTGGGCGTGGTCTCACTAGCAAAGAGGATCGGATCGAATGCCTGAATCTGGACGAGTTTATGAAGATGTGCAGGAAATCGGGATTGAATTGTTTTTCTGCATCTGTGCTTCACACACATCCAGATTCAGGAGCTCGATCCTATCCTTTTTGCTAATGGGACCTCGGCCCTTGAGGTGACTTCCCCGGGGAGCCTAGCAGCTCATCTCACCTCCCAATGAATGAGTACCATGGGGACCTCCTGAGGCCTGTGCCGTCTACTACACCATGGACTTTTATAAATAATAAAAAAAACAAAAAAACTACCAATGGACTGTTTCCTCTTTTTCCCCTCTCTTCTTTTTTCGAAGAAAAAGCATAATTTCACGAAAACTCCTGGCCTGAGCGCCAAGCCTGGATGCATCTGATGGCGATTCCCTCTTTTATTCAGAGTGGACAGTCCCACTGCTGACGTGATCACCGACCTGTTCCTTCTAGGAGCACAGTGTGGGTACTCCCCGATCCCGCTTTTTGGGGACAGGCGGGCCAGATTGCCATCCCGATCGATAGGGACCGTTTCTCTGTCACGGGAACATGCTCAGACTCAGGACATTCCGGCGTGAATATGGCAGCAAACGAGATCAGATCCATGCGAGATGAGCTCACCACCAGAGCAGCCTGCTGCACTCCTCTTGGGAAGGATGTTGCTTCCTCCCTTCCCACGACGAAACCTGTGTTCACTGGACAAGGTCCAGAGCTTGGACCTAGGTTACTATATGTACTGCGTTTATAGACATAACGTATCTTGGAACTTAGTCCGCGGTCTAGACCAGGTTCAGAAGTTCCAACGATCAGCCTCGACCAGCACTCTCTGGGTGCCTCAGATGGGGCTTGTTTCCAGTCGAGATCCCTGCGAAAGGATGACATGCATAAATCGAGATATGGTCCAAATTAAAAAAAAAAAAAAAAAAAAAAA